GGGGCTGGGGACCTGCTCCTGGGGGGGAAATGGGGTTTGGGGCTGGGAGCCCTGCTGCTGCTCCTGGGGAAATGGGGTTTGGGGCTGGGAGCCCTGCTGCTGCTCCTGGGGAAATGGGGTTTGGGGCTGGGAGCCCTGCTGCTGCTCCTGGGGAAATGGGGATTTGGGGCTGGGAGCCCTGCTGCTCTGGGGGATTTGGGGCTGGGAGCCCTGCTGCTGCTCTGGGGGATTTGGGGCTGGGAGCCCTGCTGCTGCTCTGGGGGATTTGGGGCTGGGAGCCCTGCTGCTGCTCTGGGGGATTTGGGGCTGGGACTCTGGGGGATAAAAATGGGGATTTGGGGCTGGGAGCCCTGCTGCTGCTCCTGGGCTGACTTAGCCAGAGCAGCAAGGCCTGAACTGTGTTTTAAAGGGCAATTTTACCTTTTTTTAATCAAAGTTTCACCTCCAGCCCTGGCTGAACCATTTTGGGGTGCTGGGGTCCCCTTCTGCCCCAGCTCCCTTTGTGTGGCCTCAGGAAGGGCTGCAGACATTTATAATTTGAATTTTGGTTGATTTTATTTCTCTGCTCTCTGGCAGCTCTCCCCAAAGAAGACCTGGGAGGGTTTCATTGGAGGATTTTTTTCCACCGTTCTCTTCGGGCTGCTGGTGAGTGTCCATCGTGGGGCTCCTCCCCTGGGCTTCCCTTCCTGGGGTGTTCTGGGAAAAACGCACTCAGCCTTGACTCTGGCAGGTGTTTCACCTTTTCTGGCTGCCAGAGTTTGAATTTCTCAGATATTTCCCCTTTTCTTGCAGCCATGAATTTCTGTCAGATATTTCCCCTTTTCTTGACTAAATTTCTGTCAGTTATTTCACCTTTTCTTGCTGCCAGGGTTTGCATCTCTGTCCAATATTAAACTTTTCTTGATGCCCATGCTTAAATTTCTCAGATATTTCCCCTTTTCTTGCAGCCATGAATTTCTCTCAGATATTTCCCCTCTTCTTGACTAAATTTCTGTCAGATATTTCGCTTTTTCTTGCTGCCCAGGTTTAAATTTCTCAGATATTTCACCTTTTCTTGACTAAATTTCTGTCAGATATTTCGCTTTTTCTTGCTGCCCAGGTTTAAATTTCTCAGATATTTCACCTTTTCTTCCAGCCCTGAATTTCTGGCAGATATTAAATTTTTCAAGCTGCCAGGGTTTGAATTTCTCAGATATTTCACCTTTTCTTGACTAAATTTCTGTCAGATATTTCGCTTTTTCTTGCTGCCCAGGTTTAAATTTCTCAGATATTTCACCTTTTCTTGCTGTCATGGTTTGAATTTCTCAGATATTTCCCCTTTTCTTGCAGCCATGAATTTCTCTCAGATATTTCCCCTCTTCTTGACTAAATTTCTGTCAGATATTTCACCTTTTCTTGCTGCCAGGGTTTGAATCTCTGTCCAGTATTAAACTTTTCTGGCTGCCCAAGCCATGAATTTCTGTCAGATATTTCCCCTTTTCTTGACTAAATTTCTGTCAGTTATTTCACCTTTTCTTGCTGCCAGGGTTTGAATTTCTGAGATATTTCACCTTTTCTTGCAGCCCTGAATTTCTGGCAGATATTTCCCCTTTTCTTGACTAAATTTCTGTCAGATATTTCCCCTTTCCTTGACTAAATTTCTGTCAGTTATTTCACCTTTTCTTGCTGCCAGGGTTTGAATCTCTGTCCAGTATTAAACTTTTCTTGCTGCCCAGGTTTAAATTTCTCAGATATTTCACCTTTTCTTCCAGCCCTGAATTTCTGGCAGATATTAAATTTTTCAAGCTGCCAGGGTTTGAATTTCTCAGATATTTCACTCCCCAAAGAAGACCTGGGAGGGTTTCATTGGAGGATTTTTTTCCACCGTTCTCTTCGGGCTGCTGGTGAGTGTCCATCGTGGGGCTCCTCCCCTGGGCTTCCCTTCCTGGGGTGTTCTGGGAAAAACGCACTCAGCCTTGACTCTGGCAGGTGTTTCACCTTTTCTGGCTGCCAGAGTTTGAATTTCTCAGATATTTCCCCTTTTCTTGCAGCCATGAATTTCTCTCAGATATTTCCCCTCTTCTTGACTAAATTTCTGTCAGATATTTCACCTTTTCTTGCAGCCCTGAATTTCTGGCAGATACTAAATTTTTCATGCTGCCAGGGTTTGAATTTATCAGATATTTCACCTTTTCTTGCAGCCCTGAATTTCTGGCAGATACTAAATTTTTCATGCTGCCAGGGTTTGAATTTATCAGATATTTCACCTTTTCTTGCAGCCCTGAATTTCTGGCAGATACTAAATTTTTCATGCTGCCAGGGTTTGAATTTATCAGATATTTCACCTTTTCTTGATACCAGGGTTTGAATCTCTGTCCAATATTAAACGTTTCACCTTTTCTGGCTGCCAGAGTTTGAATTTCTCAGATATTTCCCCTTTTCTTGCAGCCCTGAATTTCTGGCAGATATTTCCCCTTTTTTTGATGTTAGGGTTGAATTTCTGTCAGACACTAAACTTTTCTTGCACCCAGAGTTTCCAGCCTTCTGTAGGTATCCTTTCTGTATTTTAGTCTAGTTTAGCATAGCATTCTTTATATAATACATAATAACTCCCAGGGTTAAATTTCTCAGGTATTTCCCCCTTTCTCACAGCCCTGAGTTTCTCAGATATTTCACCTTTTTCTTGCTGCCAGGGCTGCATTTCTGTCAGACACTAAACTTTTCTTGCACCCAGAGTTTCCAGCCTTCTCTAGGTATCCTTTCTGTATTTTAGTCTAGTTTAGCATAGCATTCTTTATATAATACATAATAAATAATACATAAATTACCAAATTACCCCTCTGAGCACACGGGGTCACATCCATCATCCCTCCCTTCACCTGAGCACCCCACAACCACAACAAGAGCTCTTCCCCCTCCTCGCACAGCCTTTCCCCCTGGAGAAACCCCTGAAACAACCCCAAATCCTGCTTTTTTCCCCCTTTTTGTGCAGCTGTCCTACGTGATGTCGGGCTACCGCTGCTTCACCTGCCCCGTGGAGTTCAACAACGACACCAACAGCTTCACGGTGGACTGCGAGCCCTCCGAGCTCTTCCAGCTGCAGGAGTACAACCTGCCCGAGCTGCTGCACTCCCTGCTGGGCTGGGTAGGGGTTCCTCTGCCCTTGGTTTGGTTTTTATGGGCTGGGAGCAGGGAAGAGAGCAGGGCTGGGAGCAGGGAGGAGAGCAGGGCTGGGATCTGCTGGCTCACGACAAAGGGGGAATGAATTCCATGAGATCCCGAAGGAATTCTCCCAAATCTGCAGGGCTGGGTTCTTCTGGCTCATGACAAAGCAGGAGCAAATTCCATGAGATTCCGAAGGAATTATCCCAAATCTGCAGGGCTGGGTTCTTCTGGCTCATGACAAAGCAGGAGCAAATTCCATGAGATTCCGAAGGAATTATCCCAAATCTGCAGGGCTGTGTTCTTCTGGGTCATGACAAAGTGGGAATGAATTCTGTGAGATCCCGAAGGAATAATCCCAATTCTGCAGGGCTGGGTTCTTATGGCTCATGACAAAGTGGGAATGAATTCCGTGAGATCCCAAAGGAATAATCCCAAATCTGCAGGGCTGGGTTCTTCTGGCTCACAACAAAGTGGGAGCGAATTCCATGAGATCCCAAAGGAATAATCCCAAATCTGCAGGGCTGTGACCCCCCCTGAAATCCCAAATCTGCAGGGCTGTGACCCCCCCTGAAATCCCAAATCTGCAGGGCTGTGACCCCCCCTGAAAGCCCCCCGGGGCAGAGGAGGGGGCAGGCCCTGAGGTGCTGCTGTGCTCTTTGTGCTGCAGAGGACCGTGAGGATGTACCCCTTCCAGATCCACAGCATCGCCCTGTCCACCTTCGCCTCCCTCATCGGGCCCTTCGGCGGCTTCTTCGCCAGCGGCTTCAAGAGGGCCTTCAAGATCAAGGTGGGCACGGGGCTTGGGGGGCACGGAGGTTTTGGGAAGAGGATGGAGGTTTTGGAGAGGGCACAAAGGTTTTGGGAAGAGCATTGAGGTTTTGGGAAGAGCATTGAGGTTTTGATGGGGTCACGGAGGTTTTGGGAGAGTCAAGGAGGTTTTGGGGAGGTTCTGGAGGTTTTGGGGAGGGCACGAAGGTTTTGGGAAGAGCATTGAGGTTTTGAAGGAGTCAGGGAGGTTTTGGGGGAATCAAGGAGGTTTTGGGAAGAGCATTGAGGTTTTGGGAGGGTCCTGGAGGTTTTAGGGGAGTCATGGAGGTTTTGGTGAGGTGAAGGAGGTTTTGTGGGGGTCCTGGAGGTTTTGGGGAGGTCACGAAGGTTTTGGGAAGGGCATGCAGGTTTTGGGAGGGTCACTGAGGTTTTGGGGAGGTCCTGGAGGTTTTGGGAGGGTTCTGGGAGGGTTCTGGAGTTTTTGAGGAGGTCCTGGAGGTTTTGGGAGGGTCACTGAGGTTTTGGGGAGGTCCTGGAGGTTTTGGGGAGGAGACACAAAGTGGGTGCTGCCCCTCGAGGCAGTCCCAGAGCCCCAGGGGAAGGGAGCTTTGCTCAGACACAGATTAAAATGCTGCAGCAGGATCTGGGATTTTTCACCAAAAAGGAGCAGACGTCAGGATTTTGGAGTGTGACATTCCAAACCCTGCTGTGCTGCAGGCAGAGAAGGAGGAGCCAGGCAGGAAATGCTGCAAGCTGAGGTTTCCCTTGGTGCCTTGCAGGCTGGTTTCACACACACCAGGCAGGGCAGGGTGGCAGCACACAAACATTTCCCTGAGCTGAGCCCCTCGGCCATAAAGCAGAAACTTCCAGAAGCAGGGAGACATTTAAAGCAAACATTTCTAGGTCTGCCTTTGCAGCTGGGGCAGGGGGTGAGTGTGGTGTGTGTGGGGATGCTGCCAAGGGCTCAGTGCCACCCCTGTGCCCTGCCAGGACTTTGCCAACACCATCCCAGGCCACGGGGGCATCATGGATCGCTTCGACTGCCAGTACCTGATGGCCACCTTTGTCAACGTGTACATTGCCAGCTTCATCAGGTAAAGAGGGGCATCCCACCATCACACAGGGCTCGTTCACCTCCCTGTTGTTTTATTGTTAGAGGAAACCCATTGTTTTTATGGACAGTTAAGATACAGGCAGGTCTAATTAGTCCTGTGCTTAAAACACTAAAACCTGGGAGGGTTTTATTGGAGGGTTTTTTATTTTTCCCCTTTTTATTAGAGGATTTTTGGTCTCTTTGGGTTGCTGGTGAGTGTCCATTGTGGAACTTCCTCCACTGCAGCTTTCCCTTCACAGGGTCCTGTGTTCTGTTAAAAAATGCAGTCAGGTTTGAATCTCTCTCAGATATTTCACTTTTTCTTGCTGCCCAGGTTTGAATCTCTAAGATATTAAACTTTCCTTGCTGCCCTGAATCTCTGTCAGATATTTCCTCTTTTCTTGCTGACAGGGTTGAATTTCTGTCAGATATTTCACCTTTGCTTGCTGCCCAGGTTGAATTTCTGGCAGATATTTCACCTTTTTTTGCAGCCCAGCTTTCAATCTCTCAGATATTAAACTTTTCTTGCTGCCCTGAATCTCTCTCAGATATTTCCCCTTTTCTTGCAGCCCAGGTTTGAATCTCTATCAGATACTAAATTTTTCTTGCTGCCCTGAATTTCTGTCAGACTTTTCACCTTTTCTTGCTGACAGGGTTTGAATCTCTCTCAGACTTTCCCCCTTTTCTTGTTGCCCAGGTTGAATTTCTGTCAGACATTTCCCCTTTTCTTGCTGCCAGGGTTTGCATCTCTCTCAGACATTTCTCTGTCAGGCTCCCAGGGGCATGGACAGCCCAGCAATGACCATTCTGGTGGAATTGCTGACCCTCATTTTGTGTTCCAGGGGCCCCAACCCGAGCAAACTGATCCAGCAGTTCCTGACCCTGAGGCCAGAGCAGCAGCTGCACATCTTCAACACCCTCAAAGCACACCTGGTGGACAGGGGAGTGCTGGGCAGCCTGGAGGATGCATAGGCAGGAGGTGGGAGCAGGACTGAGAGCACACAGGCCTCCCCCAGGGCATCCCCTGATTTAAGACAATAACAAGGCCTCATTTCACTGTAACTTTTCTTCCTTTCTCGGTAAATGTTTGCATTCGTGGTTTATTTTATTTTATTATTTTTTTCTAAATAATATATTTATAGAGCTTTGGTTCAAACGAGCAAATCTTGGGTTTGTAGCTGAGGAGGAGGTGAGGGTCGGGGGGAGCAGAGGGGGTGGCTGTCCTGCTGGGCTGCTCGGGGTGGCAGCTCTGGGGACCCCCACCCTGTGCTGAATTGTCCCAGCAGCTCCTGCCTTGCACCAGGCAGAGGATCCTGTGCTGAGCCCTTCCCAGCTGCAGCTCCTGCAGTGCCTCTCACGTTCCCTCCCTCCTGGGCAAGTTCAGATTTCTGTGAGCACCCAAACCAGGAGCAGGCTGGGTGCAAGGAGCCCGGGGAGTGGCAGCTGTGGGTGGGAATGTGGGAGCTGCAGATTCCTCCAAAACCAATGGCACTAAATGAGATTTAAAGAGCATTGAAGCAATTCCTGCCAGGTGAGAACGGCTCCTCCACACCTTGGTTTGTTTCCCCCATTAAATAACCCTTAGAAACCACACTTCATTTCTCCAGGGCTGCAAACCCCACCGTGGATATTTGAAGGAGCCTGGGGAGCAGTTTCCAGCCCCTTTCCTTGCTGGGTGGGCTCCAGCTGCAGCTGGGGCTTTGTTTTCTTTCAGGGATCATGTCTGTTTGTTACTTGAGTTGTAGAAGTCGTGCTGCTGAGTTTACCAAGGTCTGTGTTGCATTTCAGTCTGGGTTCATTTCTCTGCAGGCTTCTGTCACTGAATCTTGTCAGAAGTAGTTTCAGAAGTAGTTTGGACTTTATAGCTGCAGGTTTTATTGAAGTACTTTCCTTTATTTTGTCATACTTTTTTTTTTATTATTTAAAAATGAGAGCCCTAAAGATTGTAAAACTTTCCTTTTTTTTTTTTTTGTGACCAGATAGTGAAAATTTCCCCATTTACACCTCGTGCAAACACAAGGGGACTGATTTTCCTTCTTTCCATAGTTTGTGCACGGGAGAGAGAAACTTCCCATTATTTTAACCTGGGGAGTGAGGGACAGGGAGAGCTCCTGCAGAAACACATTGGAGTTTAAGAGGTTGCTGCCACAAACCTTCAGCCACACGTGAGCCCTGCACCTGCTTGGCACCAACAGAGAACAAAGCACCTGAAAACGCCCCAAATTCCGAGCTTTTCACAGCCTGGGTGTGTGCACATCACAGCACAGGTGCCAGCCTCTCTCTGTGGGCTGTGCCTCTGCTCCCTGGGCAGGGCTGGGTGGAGAGCACAGCTCCGAGCAGGCTCTGCTCTCACTGAGCTTTCTGTTTCTGCTGGCACAGCCCTGCCCTCAGCAGTCCAGGCTGGCTTTGCTGCTCATACACATTCCCCTGGCTGTGGATTTCCCCTGTGGTTGCTCCCTTCCAGCTGGAATTAGGTTTATTTTCTGTCCATGGAGCAGATCTTGCTGCGAGCCCCTGACACAGAAACTGCAGAGGAGAAGGGAGTGCTTCCCATGGCCCTGCCCAGGGGCAATATTTGGGCTGTGTTTGATGTGGCAGTGCCCGGGGGCTCTCAGGATTCTCCTGCCCTTTGCCCAAACCCCTCCCGTGCCTGTGGCTCCCAGGCAGAAGTGACAGTGTTGATAAATATCCCAAAGCTGTGCTCTGTCCTTAGTGAGAGATCCCTCCGTGGGTTTTTAGTCTCCTGCTCGTCTGCTTTAACCCTTTAGTTCCTCTGCTGCTGTGAGCAGCAGGGCAGAGCTTTGCTGCAGCTTTGGGGCAGGGCTGTCAGTGCTGGCTGTGGGCACTGGAGGGCAAAGCAGCTCCAGGGAGCAGCTGAGAGAGAGCAGCAGCTCTGCCTGGGCTGCCTGCCCTGTCAGAAATTCAGAAATGTCCTGGTCAGGAATGAATTCCCTGGTTAGAAATGTCCTGAGCAGAAATTCATTCTGTGATGAGAAATGTCCTGATCAGAAATGCCCTGATGAGAAAATTTCCTGATCAGAAATTAATTCCCTGATCAGAAAAATCTCTGATCAGGCAGTGTCCTGATTAGAAAATTTCCTGATCAGACATTCCCTCACCAGAAGTTCCCTGATCAGAAATTCCCTGATCAGAATTCCCTGACCAGCTTTATTCCTGCCCTTCCCTCCAAACCCGGGCTGCTCCTCAGGGGCAGAGCTGCCTGGGAATGTTTTCCTGCATGGAAAAATCACCTTTAAAAGCCATGAAAGGGTGGAACAGTGGATGCAGGGAGGAGGAGGGAAGGCAGCTGTATTTGGGGTGGTTGCAGGTCGTGCAGCTGAGCTCACAGGGCTGGGAGCTGCCTTCGGGATGGAGGGGGGATTAAAATCTTCTCCCACCTCCTTTGCCGTGGGCAGGGAATGTCCTGCAGGTCTGGTCTGAGCCTGGATGGGGAATTTGGGGAGGATGGAAGCTGCCTCTGGCTTGGGCTGTCTCTGGTGCCCAGGGGTGCTGAACCTGGGGAGTTTGGGTGACAAAGGGACCCAGGCAGGGCTGGAGCTCAGCCTGGACAGAAGGTTGAGAGCAGGAGAGGAGCTGGGCTTTGTGTGGGCTGGGAGGAGGGGACAGCCCCCCTGGCAGGGTCCCAGCCTGCTCTGGGGCCACCAGAGGTGGCAGTGCCCACAGGGGTGGCACACCGGGCACACCCAGCTGAGGTTTGGGTTTGGACACGGGTTTGGGGCACAGCTGGGCCAGCTGTGGACACCTGGGTGGGAATTTTGTCCCCTTCCAGGGAATGTCACATCCCAGGGAATGTGACATCCCAGGGAATTGCCATCCCAGGGAATGTCACCCTCCAGGGAATGTCACATCCCAGGGAATGTCACATCCCAGGGAATGTCACATCCCAGGGAATGTTACCCTCTAGGGAGTGTCACATCCCAGGGAATGTCACCTCCAGGGATTGTCCCCTCCCAGGGAATGTCCCTGTGTCCCCTGTGTGCAGGGAGCCCCAGGCCTGCCTGGGGGGTCCTGCCCTCTCCCCCTGGCCTGGCTGGGGGCCGGGCAGGGCTGGGTGTCCCCCCTGGGGACAGCTGTGTCCCCAGAGCCCCGTGGCAGCTCTGTGCTCCTGTGCAGCCCCTGCTCTGCAGCCCTGGCTGTTCTTTCTCTGTGCTTTGTTTTTGGTTCCAGTTCTAGCTGCACACGTAGAGTTGCCTTCCTTTGACCGAATGTTCGAATGTGAAATATTGTATATTTTAAAGTATTTACCCTATTTATATACTGTATGTTACTGTTAAATAAATATAAATTCCATTACCTCTGGGGGAGTTTCATTCAGCGCCGTGGCGTGCTCCAGGTTTTCCAAACTCACATTCCCTGTTCCCTGCCCTGTGCTCTCCTTCCTGAGGGATTGCCTGGAGAAAAATATTCAGCAGTTCAACATTCAGCAGTGTTTAATATTCAGCAATATTCAATATTCAGTAACATTCAGTATTCAGCAGTGTTTAATATTCAGCATATTCAGGAATATTCAGTGTTCAGCAGTGCTCGATATTCAGCAGTGTTCAGTATTTAGCAACGTTCCATATTCAGTGTTCAATATTCAGCAGTGTTTAATATTCAGCAACGTTCAGTATTCAGTGTTCAATATTCAGAAATATTCAATACTCAGTAACGTTCATTATTCAGCAGTGTTTAATATTCAGCAATATTCAATATTCAGCAGTGTTTAATGTTCAGCAGTGTTCAACATTCAGCAGTGCTCAATATTCAGCAGTGTTTAATATTCAGCAACATTGAATATTCAGCAGTGTTCAATATTCAGCAGTGTTCAGTATTCACCAATGTTCAAAATTCACCAACATTCAATATTCAGCAATATTCAGTGTTCAGCAATATTCAATATTTACCAACATTCAATATTGAGCAATATTCAGTAGTCAGCAACATTAAATATTCAGCAGTGTTCAGTATTCAGTGTTCAATATTCAGCAATGTCCAATATTCAGCAACGTTCAGTATTCAGCAGTATTCAATAATCAGCAGTATTCACCAATATTCAATATTCAGCAACATTCAATATTCAGCAATATTCAGTATTCAGCAATGTCCAATATTCAGCAATGTTCAGCAATATTCTATATTCTGGAAAATGCAGATTTCCCCTGCTTTCCCCCATCCTGTGCCAATTTAATCTGCATTTTTAGACCTGGAAAAAAGCAGATTTGCAGAGGGAATCCTGCTGCAGCCCCAGCGTGATCCCCCGCTCCCTGAGAGCTGCTGCTGGGACAAAAAATGACTTTGTGGGGCTGGGAATTGCCTGTTGCAGGTCCTGCAGGCTCCGAGTGGATTTTGGGGAGGAATTCAGGGTTTGCTCGGGGCCGTGGCCGAGCTGCAGCTCGGGGCTCAGGCAGAGTTTCCGTTTGTGCCTTGTGACATCCTGCGGTGACAGGGCTGGGAGAGCTGCTCCAGAGCCAGGCTGGGGAAAAAGAGCAAAATGTGGGAGCCCAGGCAGCTCCTGCAGCTGGAAAAGTCAAATCGAAAAATTCAAATTAAAAAAGAAAAAAAAAAAACCTGTAAAAATTAAAAATTAAATTTGAAATGAAAAGTGAAAATTAAACCTAAAATTTAAAAAATCAAAATTAAAAATTAAAATGAAAATAAGTTGGTACAACAAAATAAGTGGCACCAACACCTTGGTGCTCACCCTCTGGTTTCCTTTCATCCTTTCCTCCCAGAGCTGCCCCGTTCCACCCCTGTGGCTGCAGAGCCTCCACCGCCATGGCTGAGCCATGAGTTATGGAAAACCCTTCGCTGGGATTGTTCTGTTCCAGCTGAGAATCCCCAGCAAAGAAACAAAACCAATGAACAGTGTGATGGCTGTGGAGGTGCTCTGGGCACTGTTACCAGCAGGTTTCTGTTGGTTGTTCCTAATTAATGGCCAAGCCCAATCAGCTGGCTCCGACTCTCAGAGTCGCTTTTGCTATCGTTCCCTTTTTGTCCTTTCCAGCCTTCTGATGGATCCTTTGCTCTCTATTCTTTTAGTATAGCTTTAATATATCACTTTAATATAATATATACCATTATATAATAAATCAGGCTTCTGAAATATGGAGTCAAGATTATTTTCTCTTCACTCCCCACACGAAGGGCCCACCACCCAAGGAGGGAAGCAGCAAACCCCGACCCCGGCGGTGCCCAGGACGGGCCCGGAGCCCACCCCGGGCTCACCCCCAGCCCTGCCCCGGCCAGGCCGTGCCCGGGGCCCCGGGCTGGGCTGTTCCTGCTCGGGGCAGCGCTGCCAGCTCGGGGAGGACACACGGAGCTCCCACAGCACTTCCTCAAATGCCCCGAGCGGCCCCGGGGAGCGGCCCGGGCTGGGCTGGAGGGCCCCGGGCCAGGACGGGGGACAGGAGGGGACCAGAGCGGGCACCACGGCGCAGCACGGCTGGGGAAGGCAGAGCCGGGCAGGAAAGCGGGGCAGGAAAGGACTTTTATGGGGTTTGTGCTGCTCTCAGAGGCAGGAAGCTCGCTGGCAGAGAAGCGCTCGCCGAGCCGCGACCCCACGGGACCATCAGGGCGTGGGTCCAGCCCCGCTCCTAAACAACTCACCTTGAGGAAGGAAGGAAAACAAAAAGACTTTCCTGAGCCAGAATGTCCCTGAAGCTGCCACGGAACTGGGATTTCAACCTGAAGATGGACGCTGCAAAAATAGGTACCGTGAGGGCTCCTTGGCGGCCTTCCGTGTCCGCGGGGCCGGGCCCGGCTCAGGTCCTGCCTCTGTGGGGACACCGGGCCCGGTGCCGCTTCTGGGACACAGCAAGTGATTTATGAGAAGGGATTTGCAAATTTGTCAGCGAGGGATGCTGCCCCCCAAAATCCGGGTTTGGGGGGACACCGGGCCCGGTGCCGCTTCTGGGACACAGCAGATGATCTGCAAGTGATTTACGAGAAAGGATTTGCAAGTTTGTCAGTGAGGGATGCTGCCCCCCAAAATCCGGGTTTGGGGGGATTTAAACCACCCAGGCCCCTTGGGGGTGTCAGGGAGGAGATTTGGGGTTGATCATGGTCAGGGAGGGGATTTAGGGGTGATGATGGTCAGGGAGGGGATTTAGAGGTGATCATTTAGGGGTGATCATGGTGAGGTCAGGGAGGGGATTTAGGGGTGATGATGGTCAGGGAGGGGATTTGGGGGTGATGGACGGGTCAGGGAGGGGATTTAGGAGTGATCATTTAGGGGTGATCATGGGGTAGTTAGGGAGGGGGTCAGGGAGGGGATTTAAGGGTGATTTAGGGGTGGTCAGGGAGGGGATTTAGGGGTGATGAGGGGGTCAGGGAGGGGATTTAGGGGTGATTTAGGTGAGGTCAGGGAGGAGATTTAGAGGTGATTTAGGTGTGGTCAGGGAGGGGATTTAGGGGTGATGGTGGTGAGGTCAGGGAGGGGATTTAGGGGTGATTTAGGCGTGGTCAGAGAGGGGATTTAGGGGTGAAGATGGTCAGAGCCCAGCCTGAGCCCAGGCCATCCAAAAATCCACCCAGGGCCTGGGTTTGTCCCGAGCAGAGCCAGGTCCAGCTGGTCTCTGCCTGGCTGGATTTTCCCACCAAGAAATTTGGATTTCTGTCTGAAGCTGCTTTTTCCAGGCTGGCCGAGCCATTCTCTGCACCCAGAGCCCCCAGGGAAGGGGTGGAAGCCCCAAATGAGGCCTGGGCTGGCCCAGAAACTCCAGCTCAGGGCCATCCCCACACTCTGGGCGAGAAATCCCCACGGGTTATCACAGAGGCATTCCCAGGATAATTAATATTTGTTTTGCCCAGAGGCAGTGGGTGAAGTCAAGGCACAAAAAAAGGCCAGGGCACACCAAGGGTGCTGGGGAGCAGAGGGTGGAGATGGGGCAGAGGCTTGGGCCTGTGTTGGTACCAGGAATTGCCTTTTTTTGGAGAAAATCTGCTTGTGATGAAAGCCCTGGTGCTTTTTGCAGCTTCCAGCTGCTGGGTGAGCGTGACTTTGTGTGAATGTTTTGTGAGTTTGTGTGACTTTGTGTGAATTTTTCTGTGACTTTTTGTGTGAGTTTTTCTGTGACTTTGTGTGAGTGTTTCTGTGACTTTGTGTGAGTTTTTCTGTAACTTTTTGTGTGAATGTTTCTGTGACTTTGTGTGACTCTGTGTGGCTTTCTGTGTTTGCACTGCCTCCGGGGCTGCTGTGGCTTCATTTGCAGAGATGTGAAAGTCACATTTGCAAAAGTTTGCAATATTTGCAGCTTGCCCCCGCCCTCGCTGGCTCCTCGTGGCCTGGGGACACTTCCCCTGCTCACCCAGCCCTGCCTGTGGCAGCGTTTGGAGAACTGCAAAAAATTGATTTCGGTGAAACAGAAACAGAAATTCCCTGGTGAAACCTCTGTTCTTGTTTTTTTTTGCCAGTTCCCAGCAGTGGGGGTGCCAAGGCTCTGGGCCAGTGGTGGCCACGGTGGCCTCTGTCCTGCACTCCTGATTTTGGGGCAGGCCAGGGGCAGCTCTCCCTGCTGGGGGAGGTTTTGGAGGAAATGCCCAACCCCGGAGGCCGTTGCTGCAGGAAATGTTTTGGGGGGCACCCCCAAAGGGGCTCCTCGCCCTGGGGGATGTGGGGACACCCCTGGGGTGAAACTGGAGCTCTGGCTCGGGTTTTCCAGCTCAGGAAATCACCAGTGCAGACCCCAGTGAATTCCCTGCAGTCACGGATTTGTTTTTGCCCTGCAGCCATAAATGCAAACTCTGCCCAGCTGGGCTGGCTCGGGGGGCTGCAGAGGCAGAAATCCCCCCTGGAAGTGACCCCTGCCAGGCATTGCTGTCCCAGAGCATTTGGGGATGCCACAGGGCCGTGCCAGCAGTGGGGCCCTGCCAGCAGGTGACAGGGACACTGCTCTGCCCAGTGCCAAACCTGGTGGTGGCTTTCCATCCCTGGAGATTTTCCAGCCCCACAAATGTGAGTTCTGCCCCACTGGCACCACCCCAGAGCAAAACTGGGACCTCCAAAGCCTTTGGGTCACTCTGCTGTCACTGCTGCTCTGGAGAGGGGGCAAACCCCTCACAAGCCATAAAAAAACCCTCAAAACAGCCCCAGCAAGGTTTGGGTTCTCACTCGTGAGGGAGCTCATGCTGGCAGCCAGTGCAGCCACTTCCTGCAAACGGGGCGAGAGCCTGGCCCGTCCCTGTGTCCCCACTCTGTGTGCCCACTCTGTGTCCCCTGTCCCCACTCTGTGTGCCCTGTCCCCACACCTGTGTCACTGTGCCCCTGTGCCCTATGTCCCCTGTCCCCACATCCGTGTCTCTGTCCCCACTCCCCTGTGGCTGCGTCCCCATCCTCAGTGTCCCCATACAGTGTCCCCATGTCCCCACATCCCTGTCCCTGTGTCCCCAGCCTGTGTCCCTGTCCCCAACCCGTGTCCCTCTCCCCACTGCTGTGTCCCTGTGTCCCCAGCCCCTGTCCCCGTGTCCCCACACCCCTGTCCCTGTGTCCCCCCCCACTCTGTGTGCCCTGTCCCCACACCTGTGTCACTGTGCCCCTGTGCCCTGTGTCCCCTGTCCCCATATCCTGTGTCCCCACACCCCTGTGCCCTGTGTCCCCTGTCCCCATATCCTGTGTCCCCACACCCCTGTTCCTGTGTCCCCTGTCCCCACATCCGTGTCCCTGTCCCCACTCCCCTGTGGCTGCGTCCCCATCCTCAGTGTCCCCATACAGTGTCCCCATGTCCCCACATCCCTGTCCCTGTGTCCCCAGCCTGTGTCCCTGTCCCCAACCCGTGTCCCTCTCCCCACTGCTGTGTCCCTGTGTCCCCAGCCCCTCTTCCCGTGTCCCCACACCCCTGTCCCTGTGTCCCCCCACCCCTGTCCCCACGTCCCCAGCCCCTGTCCCTGTCCCCATTGACCTGTGCCCGTGTCCCCAGTGCTAGTAACTGTCTATTTTCTGCCCACTAAATGTGTTTCTATGCCCAGTAAATGTCTTTTTCTGCCCAGTAAAAGTGTTTCTCCGCCTAGTAAATGTGTTTCTCTGCCCAATAAAGGTGTTCCTCTGCCCAGTAAATGTATTTTCTGCCCAGTAAATGTGTTTTCTGCCCAGTAAATGTGTTTCTATGCTGACTAAATGTCTTTTCTGCCCCGTAAATGTATTTTCTGCCCAGTAAAAGTGTTTCTCTGCCCAGTAAAAGTGTTTCTCTGCCCAGTAAATGTATTTTCTGCCCAGTAAATGTATTTTCTGCCCAGCAAAGGTGTTTCTCTGCCCAGCAAATGTATTTTCTGCCCAGTAAATGTGTTTCTATGCCCAGTAAATATATTTTCTGCCCAGCAGAGGTGTTCCTCTGCCCAGTAAATGTCTATTTTCTGCCCAGTAAATGCATTTTCTGCCCCGTACGTGCATTTCTGCCCAGTGAAGGTCCCTCTGCTGCCCCACTGTCCTTGGAATAGGAACTGGGAGAAAGGGTTTTGCCTGGAATGGGAGGTGGGAGAAGGGTTTTGCTTGGAATGGGAAGATGGGAGAAGGGTTTTTGTTGGAATAGGAGGTGGGAGAAGGATTTTGCTTGGAATGGGAAATAGGAGAAGGGTTTTCTTGGAATGGGAAATAGGAGAAGGGTTTTGCTCCCTTTTCCTTGGTTCTCCACCCGTTTGAGGAGCACTGCAGCCACTCTTCATGAAGTTTAGAGTTTTACCCCAAAGCAGCCCAGAGCGTGCAAAGCACAAACGCCACGGCCCGAGCTGAGCTGTGCCCTGTCCCCAGCGGTGTTCGGGCAGTGCCTGGCACAGACCATGGCCCACGAGCAGAAGTTTGGGCAGCACCTGGTGCCCCTGGTGGTGCAGAAGAGCGCCGAGTTCATCCTGGAGCACGGCGTGGCCGAGGAGGGGATCTTCCGCCTGCCCGGCCAGGACAGCCTGGTCCGGCAGCTCCGCGACGCCTTCGACGCCGGCGAGAGACCCTCCTTCCACAGGTGACTCTGCTGCCCCCAGCCCACCCCGATCCCAGGGGAAAACAGCCTGGGCCACCCCAGAGCCCTGCAGGAACCATGGACCCTGCGGAGGGGCGTGAGGGGGAGAGGGGATCCAGCAGGAACCTTCCAGAAGGGTTCAAAGAGGAGGAGATTCTGCAGGAACCCTCCAGAAGGGCTCAAGGAGGAGAGGATCCATCAGGAACCCTCCAGAAGGGCTTGAGGAGGAGAGGGGATCCATCAAGAACCTTCCAGAAGGGGTTGAGGAGAAGGAGATCCATCAGGAACCCTCCAGAAGGGCTCAAAGAGGAAGATCCATCAGGAACCCTCGAGAAGGGCTTGGGGAATGACAGGATCCATCAGGAACCCTCCAGAAGGGCTCGAGGAGGAGAGGATCCATCAGGAACCCTCCAGAAGGGCTTGAGGAGGAGAGGATCCATCAGGAACCCTCCAGAAGGGCTTGGGGAATGACAGGATCCATCAGGAACCCTCCAGAAGTTCACCCCCTGGCTGTGGCTCCCCTTCCCCAGCTCCCCGTGCCCGCAGCAGCCCCAGAGCTCAGGCAGAGCCTCCTGGGGCCCTGCTGGCCCTGAGTGTCCCTTGCTGGCTGCAGGGACACCGACGTGCACACCGTGGCCTCCCTGCTGAAGCTGTACCTGCGCGAGCTGCCCGAGCCCGTGGTGCCCTGGCTGCAGTACGAGGATTTCCTGCTCTGTGGGCAGGCTCTGGAGGCTGATGAGACAAAGGTACAGCTGCTTTTGTTTCCAAAAAATCAGTTCCAGCACCAGGGAACGCTGTGGGCTGGAAGGGACAAGGGCACACAGCACTGCCAGCCGTGGGGATTTGGAATCTGGGGAGAGAAAAAGGGAAAAAAGGAAAAAGAAAAAACTCCCCCCAAAGCCAGTGGGGTTTCCCAGCCTGGCCACGGGGGTTTGT